TCCTCTCTGTTAATGGAGTTATAATAATTCTCTCTATATTTCCTTGATATTCATACCCATATTGTATTGAAGCCTCCAAGGAATTAATTTAACAATTGGTATTCTTAATATAATATCTCAATTATAAACTCCAATAGAATGGAATCAATTATTAATTGTAATCTATTAGTTGTTTTAATACTTCTACATGATGAGCCAATAATATGATATTGGCAACATCTAAATTTTTATTATGTAATTTATCCTTCAATTCCATTAAATATATCCTTAGATCTCTTCCTTATTTCATATCTTCTTCAACTCTATTTGTGTGATCTAATTCAAAATTGATCATCGTGACTTAGTTACCACACTCATTATTCCTGTTCAAAATACAGTTCTTCACATTCTACTTCATTTGTTATTCTACCTCCAATAACCAATCTTCTATACATTTATTATTTGTGTCTACCTTCTCTTATAATTTCAGTTCGCTATCCTTTGTTTAAAGAGCATAAATATAATTATTTTTATTCATCTTCAAATTAACTACATTCTCAAACAACTTGTAAAGATACTTCTACAAAAATACGAAATCCTATCCATTCGATAGAATTTCTAAGATTTCTTCGTTTGAAATGAAGTAGAATCTACTAAACTTCTCCTTCTTTCTTTCCAAATAATTCCCCAATTCCTTATGTATTTGATCCAATAAATTATTAATCTACTTCACCTTATGTACATCTTGCTATCCAAACTCAATCACTTTATCAGAAAACCCAATTGTCTCCTTATACAACTTATCTATTTGTCTATACTTTTTATATTCAACAGGAAGTTGCTTCAAAATATCTCCAGAATCAAAAATTGGCTACATATACACAATCTATGTTTAAGTCTTATTCCATTCTTCCAAGTATGTTGATATACGTCTCAAATCTTCGTATAAAGTATTTATTTCCTAAATGAAAAAATTATTATTCTTCTGTTTCATCATTAATTCCAATGAAATCAAGTGATCATCAACTAATGCTTAAACTACATCTATCTTCTTAAAAATTTATACTCCCTTCACTAAAATTGAATTAAATCTATATTCACTCCAAATATCAGTTATCTATTTTAAAACTTGCTCAATACCAAACTCCTCCTACGCTTTCAATCCTAATTCTATACATTCCTCCGAATAATCAATTATTTTTAAATCAATCAATTTTTATAAAGAGATATAATTTTTAAATTAATCATCCTAAATATTTAATAATTATCCCAAATAATTAAAGTGTCTATCCCTTAATCCATTCTTCGTTAACGACAGCAATATTGGAACATACATTTAAAATAAATCTATTTCTTTTTTTAAGTTTTTCCACAAAGTGAATATTTCTGAACCTTATATTTTATCTACTACTTATATGAATTACTTATAATCTTAATTAAAAAACTATTCACATCCCTAATAATCTACTATATTCAAAGAATCATTTAACCATTTAACATTCTAATATTACCAAATTGAATTCACTCTCCAAACTACTTCAAATGGTTTATATTCGCATTGCAATTATAACAGAATTTCATAATTAGTTTATTCTAAACCAAACAATTATTCTCTCTTATTGAATCTTTATGCCTCCTCTGAGTACTATTAAAATTAGTTATTGATGGTAATCATCTCTTCTTCTGCGATCTTACTTTGTTCCAATTAATAGTATTCTTGGAATTTATACACTTACTATTAAAGTTATTTAATTTTCTTTTTGAACTTTGATTATTCATGAGCTTAAATCTGAAATATCTCCTCTTTTTAATTTTCCAATAGTTACTTCTGACTCTTTGCTAATTTCAGCAGCTATTATTCTTAAATTAACAGTCGATAATATTTATGAGTATCCTCTCTTCTTATAGGATAGAAGTTTATATAAACAATATTTTAACATTCAATAACTGAATTTAACAGATCAAAATAGAATTTGTTTTTTGAGACTTCCTATTGTAATAACCCCAATTTTTAAGGGAAATCATCCTCAAGAAATTCTCTTTTCTCTACTAACTATTCAATATTTTAAGGTTTTTCAATTATCTTCAATTCTAAATTAGCAAATTCATTTAGTAATCTCATACAATCTTCTTTATGATACAATGACAATTACTCAATATAATTCTATTCTCTTTTCCTTAATAATTAATAAAATTAATTTTTCATTTCTGATATTATTATTAAAAATGCTCCTACTTCAATAAAATCTGGAATCTAGTCAATTAATTTCATATCCTCTCTGTTATCAAGAATGAGAGTTTCAGCTAAATTTATTTCAAATGACTTTGAGTTCCATAACTTTTATAAGCTTTAAAATTATTTCAAATAATCAAAAAGGGACTTTCTCACTTTATTAGCTAAATTTTCAATTGCATCAATATACTAATAAGAATAGAATGATAAAATTTACTGATTATTCTTTTTCAGGGGCTTTTAAGTTTCCATTCATTTCATATAAAAACTCTTTCTGAAAATATTCAATTAACCTAGTTTCCGGATCAGGTATATCTGCAATAGCTTCATAGATTTGCTCAAAGAATCCAATAATTATATCTTTGAATTGTAGGGGGTTGATGGAATAACAAATTTCATTAGCTTTAAACTAAATTTAAATAGTATATAGGGGCTTTAATATTGCATATTAGTTAGTATAAATATTATGAACTTAAGAATAGGATTAAATTTATACATCTTCAGGAGTATGTTAATTTAAGTAATAAATGAATTTTTCAAAATTAATCTTCAAAAAATTATGCAATGCATCTTGTAATCTCATTCTAATCAATTGAAATAATCTATCCAATTAAATTTATGTAAGTATCAAGCTTTTTTTATTTTAGATTTATAAATTTATTCTAAAAAATTCAATGATTTCTTAAGCCCATTTAATTTTAATGCTCGACAAGACCGTTTTCATATGCATTTCTTATGAAAACTTATATTTTTCAAATGGTTATTATTGATATACAAATAGTTCTAATTATAATAAATCAGCAATTTGATTGCTTAAATATTATAAACATTTTTAAATAGGTTTAATATTAGAAATAGATGCCAAAAAGTAGGATTGTCTCAATATTTGAAATGAGGTTTTTATCTATTAAATCATAATCCCTTCGGAATATATGAACTAATTCTATATTATGTTTCTAATAGAAATTTAAGGTTTTTTGTATTGATTGTTAAATATTTCTAATAGATCTTTCAATTTTTTATTAGTTTCACTATTTTTTAAGAAATGGATGAAAATGATTTCATTTTGTGTTTTCAAATTCAATATGTTTACTTCAATAAATTCTTTTTTTATTAATGATGATGGAAATTCAAATCCTAACCTTTTTTTAATTCTCTTTCTCTATTCAGAGTTTAATTAAATTAAATCGTTTGTTGGCATATTCTCAACATAACAATTAAATTTTAGATATCTATCCATCTAGTCCCTGAGATAAAATGCTTATTTTAACTTCTTAATATACAATTACTTGTCTTCAAAATCCATTATAAAGTGAATTCTAGCACATCTACCTTCTCTATTCTTTCTTTGATAATGAAATAATTTAGAATATCCAATTAATTCAGCTCTATACCAGAACCAATCCCCCAAAGAATTCTACTCCATCACAAATATTTAAATTTTTTAAGTCTTCAGCATTTAGATAACTTATTCATTAGAATATTTCTGTAGTGTCTCATCCTCAAATTTTTCTATTGGCAAATACACATTCTTATGAATTTAAATTGAAAAATCAAAGCCTTAGGATATAAAGTATTACTCTATAGTCAATAACTAATTCATCTTTTCCTCCACCCTTCCTTACTCATAAATTTATTAGAAAGTTGTATCTAAAAGATCATTTCTCAAGTATTTTGCTTTTGAAAATCTTGAAATTGTAAATTTTGGTTCCTATTTTTAATCAGATAGTGCAATTGTTTTATTTGTTAAAGGTGGCATCTTAATAGCAGATAACTCTAAGGCATGCCATTGACTTTTATCTAACTACTTATTTCTTTCTGGTCTCTTCTTTTGATACATCCTTCTTAATATAAAATGATCTATTCAAATATTATCTCATTCGTATTAGAACAAAATCAAAAATTTTATAAATAAATTAAATCAAAATTACTCATTCATATTTTATCTGTACTTTTTAAAATCAAGATGACTTAATACATTTTGATTAAATTATTTTATTACTTCATTATCAATAATTAATATTGTTGTCTTTTACTAATTAATGATTGGTATATCTTATTTATAAATACTATTCTTTGAACCATTCAAAATAATAAATTTGATTTTAAAACTGATGTGATAAAACAATATTAATCAATCACTTTTAATATTTGCTAATATTGGCAACTGTGTATAACATATTACAATACAGAATAGTAATATTGGAGTCAAAGACACAAAAATTAATCACTAAATTAGGAATCATTTGTCATTTGATAGAATAAATAAATTTAATAGTCATTCATTAAGTAGTATTTACTTTTATTTAATTCATTTATCTATATATTTTTAAAATATCAGAAATTAGTATATGATTTTCGTTTTTCATTTTGGACTGATTTACATCAATTATGTACAATATTATTAGGATATTTGAAGAATTCTAAATTCAAAAAATATCTACAAAACGCATTTCTACTTAATATTTTTAGTCTATTTTTGATTAAATAAGAAAGGAAGATTCTAATATACAATATATAATTATTTTATATTTGAAATTTCAGAAATTAGGTGTTTAATAAGATGTTATTCAAGAATTTAAATAAAAAAAAACCACTTTTTTCATATATTTTTATAAAATTAAATTCTAATATTCAGATAGAAATTTTTATAAATCAAGTTAAGATTACATATTATTTATGAATACAAATATAAATGCATACCCTATTTGGGTCTATTTTGTGTGACTAAAGAATTTTTATAAAATATTTTTTTAATTAAAGAGCCTTTTTAATTCAATAAATATACATGTTTTTGGCTTCTCAGAAGAAAGGATTAACATTTATTGAATAATATATTACAATGATGATTATACTAAAGAAATAACATTAGTTAACGAGATTAGCATCAGCTATTATAATAGTGATACCTTACATTCAACTACTAATTTTGACATTGGATTTGAGATTAAGTGAAAACACTAAGAAAGAATCTATTCATTTTCAAATAGTAAAGAGTTTTATTAGACCTGATATGTGGTTAATAGAGAAAGGAAATGAATAATAATCTCTACTGTTTATAATTGTGCTTGTGATAATGTTGTATTAAAAAGCAAAACTCATAATCATAGTTATATTGTATTATTATATTCTAAACCAAGACAATCTGTTAGCACATTTACAAAATAATTTTTATATCAAGATTCCTATTTTCATTTTAAGCCTCTACTAATAAATAATATCCTTAATACTCTATTAATGGTGTGTATTAATTTGTGTATGCAGTATTAAAAATCTTTTTGATGAGGTTGTTATTAATCAATAATTTTTAAACTTGTTTCTAATATTTTTAGTTTTATTGACTTTGATATTGGTAGTTTTAGATAATATTTTACATATAAAGGTGATGGAGAAACCAATTACTATGAAAATATAGGGATTGGAAAGAAAGAATATAAGCACTTATAGATACATATCTTTGATCATAGAATTTATTGTTTAGTTTCTTTATGTATTTCAAAAGGATTAACCTTCAACTTTACATCTACTAATAGGATTATCAATATTAAAATGCTGTCTCGATCTTTTTGATCAATTCGCAAATTATGTTTTTGTGAATGTAAAATTAATTAAAGTGCTACTCTGTGGAATATCGTTTTCTATTGTGGTTAATTTTTTAATAGAAATAATAGAATTGTAAGAGAAATATGGGTCAAGAGTGATATTCTAGACTCTTGTTTTAACTCCTATTGTATTTTAAATACTATATAAATATTATCAAATAGACTAAAAGTAAAATTTGGTTACATTATTCAATGATGAAATTCCATAACCGAAAAGATTCATTTACCATATTACAAGTATTTTGAATGAATAAAATTTCGAATTTTGCATTGTTTAAAGATCCCTTATTCAATAATATCATTATAAGAGATGTTCAAATCTATCATGTTCAATTTGTGGACATCAATTTATTTTAGACACAAGATCGGCATAAGGGATTACCATAGACATTTTTAAGGAGTTCATATAGTCAAGATTGATGATTCTTTTGAAGGAGTCCTTAAAATTAAATTTTACTGATTAAAAAAGTTGCAAAAAATCAAAAAGAAGGTTCCTTAATTATGTTTTCCTATTATATGACTTTGGATGGATAATGCAATCATTATAGTATTTACATTAATTAAAATATGTTTAATAAGCACAATAATCAAATTAGAAAGGATTGAAAAACCATATAGGTACTTTACCTTAAAGCAATTCGTATTCAGATAAAAATAGCCATTATGTGACTGGAGACAATTAAACAAATTTGTCTCAACCTTAAAATATTGATGCAAACATGTAATTCTAAATCAACATCTTGCTAAATTAAATTAAATTTAGTATGCTTGAGTCAATTTTTATATCAGTAACTTTAGAGGAAGCAAGAAGAACAATATAAAAGAATTTTGGAACAGATGAATATGTTTAGCAACAATCAATTACCTCAGATTTTGTGACTTAATATTTATTAAATGAAGTTTAAGTTTAATAGGCTATTACCATCATTATTAATTTAGCTAAACAGAAGGTAAAGTTTTATGAAGAAATGATGAAAATTAAATCAGATGATAAAAAAATAAATTTTTGGGATAATCAAAAAAGTTATATTGGTTTGATGGATAAATGTTAATAGTTTAATTAGGGGGAATCAAAGATTATTGAAATGTACAATATTCATCCAAGTTATGTGTTACATCAAGCCTTGAATGTATTTTATTGTTTTATTTAAAATGATTATGAGAAGGCAATGCAATTTTCAAGGAGTCAGAAATTCTTAGATGAAAGATAATTGAAATTTCTAAAGATTAAGAATTTCAATGTAAATTCTAAGGAGATTTATTATTTAATCATGATGTTGCAAGACGACATGTAACATTTTAATATTTAAACTCATTCAAATTAACTATTCGATCGCTTCGGCATATATAGAAATAAAGGAGAAACCTATCAATTTGAAGACCTGATTCCATTAGCAGTGGTTAATTACCATCATCATTTTGTTGGTCAGTTCTTAGAAAGTGGATAATGTAAATTCTTTAAAATATTCGATATTAATTTTATAGTTGCTAAAGATTAATTTATTTAGGCCATCTATCTTAATGTTGACGTAACTGAATTATTTGTTAAATCAAATCTAACATTTTCAGCCTTTTTTTAACCTCCAACAGAAGACTTAATGTTTATTTTAGTTGATGGGGTTAAACATTAATGCTTATTTACAAAGAGTATCCTTAATTAGATTGGATGGACTTCTGAATAGATTTAATGGTTCAAAGTTAATTATGATATCAATAAGATTGCTATCGAAAGTATAATGCCAGATTTCTTAGATATTCTTGAATCTCTTATAAAATTAACAGAAACCTCTCTTAGTCAAATCGAATTAATCTTTCCTAAGCCTCCTGATAAATTATCATAAAAACAGTATGATTTTCAATCACTCAAAAATATTCGAAATAGCTATTTTAGATCCAACACTATCTAAAATATTAAATATTTTTGTGATCTCACCATCAGAAAAAGATAAATTTCTAATTATGTCTATTATGTAATGCATGTATCCTATATTCAAAAATAATAAAATGTTGAAAGCCTATTAGAAAATACAACTAATAGGTAGAGATCAAATATTCCTAATGAAGGTGATTTCGATAGTGAAATAAATGAATTAGAATTATAAAACAGAAATCAAATATTTGAAGAATTTTAAAAATAAGTCAAAGACTCATCCAAATAAATGTAAAGAAACCTAAAGTTATTCTCTAATTATATCAGTGATCAAATTTAAGATGACATCTTAAGTCCAGGTAGAATTTGTATCACAAATCCTAATATTTAAGATAAACATGAAGTCAATGAGTTTAAAGAATTGTTACACTCCAATAAAGACAACTAATAAGAATATTTCTATCATGATGATCAAATGAAAGACTGTTCCTCGTATGAATTAATAGTTTCTTAATTTACAAAAAAATAAGTAAAATAATAAAAGACTAAGACTTTGAATGATATGTCCAAAGACACTTTATGGAAAAAATATGACATCGTTCATAGAATTATGTAAAATTCAAAACCAAAATACGTATTTCATTTTTTAATCTACACTTTCTTACTTTTAATGTCTTTTCTAGTTATTCCAATTTTTATAATGGATGAATTCAATAAAGATTTGAATATCTTGATTGAATAAATTGAAATGTTGCAATTGCATGCAAGTATTATGGGTCCTCATGATCTCTTCTTTTCAATGAGAATAACTGTAACATCCTATTAAATACAATATAGAGAAGGCTTTATTAATGCTAAAGAACTTTAACTTCTTTCCACTCCTTTTCTATAGTATCTACCCTAAGGCTATTAAGAATTACAGGATAATTTTTACACACAATTAACGAATCCTTATTTGGCTTAATTTTTGAATGATGTGAACATCCCTGTTTGGTTCATGGGGTAAAATTCTTCTGTTATATATTCATAAGAAGTTACATTCAGAGATAACCTATTCATTATGCTTTAATATTAACAATAATAATTAGCTGCTTATTAGTTCAATAGAGCCATTGCTGGTCAACCATTTTAAGTATTTTTAATTGCAAATTATTTGGTAATGTAAAATACTTGTGAAAGTTTGACGAATGAAATAAAAATATATTCTGAATAGAAATGCAATTAAATTTATATAAAGTGGTCTATTCTATTGACTTGCTTTGTTTTTGTTTTTATTTTGATGTTATCGATTGTATTTTATTACCAAAAGAAATACTTTGCTTCATATGATCTAATTATTGGATTACTAAGACATAACACAGACGAGGTTATTCTTCATGAAATATAAAGATAGAAGATATTATTAAATATCATTTCAGGAAATATGCTTGAAGAATTCCATTTAGAGAAGGAATATATTGTGGTAATCAAAGCATAAACATTAAATGAAAATGCTAAATAGAATTAATTAATGTATCATAAATATGGCTAGCGATTTCCATAATATAAATACAACATAGCAAATATAACTTTCTTGCTCTTAATAATAATTTATGGAATAATAGTGTTTTTCTTGGCTTAATAATATTTAACCAAGTACAATGTTACAATGGATTTCTTTAAGTTGATTTAAGATTTGAAATTTCGAGGAGGCAATGGATTTCTTTATCGAGAATTATTTTTTCGTTTCACCAGCTATCCGTTTCTAACGACATCAGATTAAGACAATTTATATATTTTATTAAATAGATCTTAAAATGTGTTATAAGAGTTTAATTCCTTGATTGAAACAATTCATTACGATGATTATTTACTAACCTAAAATTTCATAGATTTATTAGAATTTGTTTAAGTTAACGAGATGTGTTCATAAGTTGATGAAGTATAAATAATAAACTATTAAAAATTAGAAATTTAAACCATTAATGGACCAATATTGTATTTTGGCTTTTGAAGGTATACTCTCGAAAGGGATTGTCCCTACTCTAAGTTATCTTTACAATTAAGTTAAAACCCAGCAGCAAATAAACAATTTTACTAAAAGAGTAGAAATGCATAAGTATGAATTGGAGGGATCTTAAATAATCACAAGAGCGTTTTTTGCACTCTCAAATAGTTTTAAGAGTAGCTTCAAGGAAATAACAGAAGAAACATTGAAAAAGCTGAATGTAAATGTTCTCTATAATTTAGAATGTCTCAATATGTTATTTGGTGTTTTGCAGCATTACGATTTTAGCTTTAATACTATTATACCCAAAATATTTGTTTGATTAATATCAACTGTTAAAGCGGATTGTGTACTTTATACCACTTCAAATTTTCTTGAGAGATGGGTATTTGGAAAGAAATTTAAAGGAAATACTTATCAAATAAATTTGAATAATATTATTAATGTTTTTCATTCTTCTGATCATTCAAAAAAGTCTATAAGCTATCTTATAGCTTGTTCTATAATTAAATAAAATAGAAATTACTTTTAAGTTTAGCATCAGTTTTTTATCCCATTTGAATTTCATTAACAATGTCTGCAAAAGTAGGCCTTTCGTGAGGACTCTTTTTCAAACATTTTTTGGCTAGTTAAAGTAAAATTGAAGGATTGCTATTTGAAGGAATAAGAACTTAATCCTGCCCATATCCAACAGTACCAATAATTTAAGTTTGTGATAAACCTTCATATGGTATTTATTAAGTAATGATTTCCCATAGAATCATTCCGAAACTATAGACATCAGCTTTTTCTTGATAGGGTTCTCCTCGCATGATTTCTGGAGCCATCCAATTAGGAGTGCCTATTCTCGCTCCTTTGTTTACTTTATGATCTATTTTCTTATTGATTCTAGACAAACCAAAATCACATAACTTAACATTCCAATTTTAATCTATAAGGACATTGGAAGATTTGAGATCACAATGCATAACCTTTCTGCCATGAAGATAATTCATTCCCAAGGCAATGTCTTCTACTATTTGCATCAAAGCCTTTTGATCTATATGTGTCTTCTTTTTATGTAAATGATCAAAAAGACTCCCTTCTTCCAGATACTCAGTAATCAAATAATAATTCTATTTTCTTATGCACACTCCCATATACAAGACTATGTTTGGATGACGTAGATTTGAAATCACTTCTACTTCCTTCAAGAAATCAGCCATTTATAATTTGTATTTCAAATTTCCTTGAGACTTTCTTTTTCCATAAGATTTGATGGCCACATCTTAACCAAGCCACTTACCTTTATGCACAACACCATAACCGCCTTCACCAATAACTTATCCAATAATTAATTCGTGGAATACTATTAGGACTCTTTCATTGATTCCAAACTCTTTTAACATCACAAGTAGTTTTTTAGGTAAATGATGTTATTGTCTATCATCCTTCTCCTTTTCTTTCTTATTAATTTCTCTTAATCTTCTGGATTTCTTCTGATTTTTATATTTCTCTTCATCTGATGATTCTGAACTTGAATCATTTCCAGATACATCAGATTCTTGGCTGGATGAATCTTATTCCTAGAATTTGCTACCGTTTGCTTCTGATCTCTGTCTTTGCAATTATAAATTAATAGATTATAATCTATCCAATTAAGTAATGTTTTCATCATTATTATTAATTATCTGAGGAGGACTTTTAGATGATGTGAATTCTGATATATCATGTTGTTTATTGGTTGATTATCTAGACAATTCATTCACTCCATAAATATCTTTCTCCTTGTTCTCTTCTCCAACATTTGGACATTCATTCAACACCAGAATCTCAATCTTTTAATCACTTACATTATTACTAACTTTATTTGGAGATTCTAAAAATATTTATAAATATCAATTACAAATAGGTGAGCTTAGATGTTATTTACCATCTTCATCATCTGCAGATTCTCCAGATTTCTATAAATCTGTAGTTTATTTTCTCAAATGCTTTTTTTACCTTTTACTTTTTTGTTTTTTTAATTTCAAAGACATATTGTTATCACTCAAATTTCCTTAATCTGAATCATTTGAGATAGATCTAGTAGGAGACTTAGGAATATCTTTGGCATTCCTCTTTCTCTTGTTTGCACTTGGGGAATCACTACTTGATTCACTTTTATTGTTGTCATGATGTTCATTTTGCTCCTCTTCTATCTTCTCCATATATGAAAAGATGCTTTTGAATCTCTAATGCTCTATAGAATTGTATAGTCCTTTTCTTTCTTCCAAAGATTCCAATGGCTTCTTCATTCGAACTCTCCCTCCCATAAATTTCACATAGTATTTCTTGTATTCTTCTATTGACTGCAAAATCTTCTTTCGATGTCCCAATACTGATATTCCCAAGTCTTACTTTAAATCATTATCGTTTAATGCATAGAGAGTTTTGCCTGTCATTTAGTTCTTAATAAATTCATCTTTATATTCACCTAATTATAATGTATCTAACCAAGTACAAACTTCTTCTAATTACCATTCCTACACTATATTTTTAATATATTTCAATAATTTTACTATGTTTTTAACTCTCAAACTCTTCCAACTTCTCCAATACTTATAAACTCAAAAATCCATGTTATTAAGAGTTGCCAAGAGAATTTAATTAAGATTTACCTTCATCTTTTAATTAAGGATCAGATTCCCCTTAACCGCTCTAACCACTTGGTTGTAGATCTTTTTGTTTATCGCTATCATTCTACACTGTAGGACTAGCCTCTATTTTAATGGTGCAATCTTCACTCTTCTCACTCTCAACATGGTGCCTTTCTGGTTTTATATGGAATTTTTCAAGCACATATGTTGGAACATCTTCAATCTACACACTATCTAAGATATTGTCAGATTCGTGATGCTATTTGTAATATTTCTTCTCACGAGTGTTAAAGTAATAGCCAGTTCCATACTTTTTATTCATTCTAAACTATCCTGCATAATCTATCTTCTAATACCATGGAATATATTTTAATCAGCCTAATATAAAGTTCCTGTACCATCCCTCTAATCATCCTTCCATTCTCCAACATATCTATCCCCATTTATATAAAAATGCATTCCTTCTCCGCACTTCTTATTCTCAACCCAATCCCCTATGTACAGTTCCCCATTCTTATAGTAGAGCTTGCCTTTTCCATGCTTCTGATGATTCTTCCACTACCCTTCGTAACGATTCCCTGACGCAAATTTATAAGTTCCTTTCCCATGACGTTTATCGTTCATAACCTCTCCTTGATATTCATCATCATTTGAGTAAAATATATGTTTCTATATCTTCTAATTCGCTTCTTACTTCGACGATTCTCCATAAAGAAACTTCAAAAGATTCATAATTATAATTCCTATATAAATATCTTAAAAAATGTTATAATATGGGCAACCATCTGTCATCGATTTAACGAATATCTAATTAATACAACAATTATTAACATGTCTAAAATAAATCAATCAAAACTAAAAGGATAAAGAGTTTCCTACTTGTTTGTCTAATTACTAAAAGAAGTCTAATAACATATAAACAATATCAATACTTTTTAGTTCATTATTTGGATTAAATAGTGAGAACGTACTAGATGATGATGATTATGAGGCTGATTCCTATTTCCCAAATAGTCTTTATGAGATTTGACTCTTCATGAATGGAGAATTCAAAAATGAAGAAGCTATTTAATCAAGATTAAACGCTTTCCTTTCAGTGATATTATTCAAATCCTAGATCTATATCTACTACTATTATAGTTTAGCACTTGACACTTAACAACTACCAAAATGAGTAGATTGGCAAGGCTAAAACAATTTGTTCTATGGAGTATTATTGAATGGATTTAGGGAACTATTGGCTATATTAATAATTTATTCTTCTTCCTTCTAACTGTTAGTCGATTTGTATTGTTCCTTGTCATACTGAATCTATGATTTTATTTTTGATTGCACTTGTCTCAGATGTTTAGGCACTCCAACGCCTCCGCAAGTTTTATTCTCTTTTTGTGTGCTCTTTTTCTTTTCCCCTTTAAATTTTGGAGAATTTCGATTATGCAAACTGTCAAATTGACTTGAATGATGAGATGATCGTTAAGTAACCTGTCTGGCACTGTTTTCACGCTATGATAAAGGATGAATTTCTGTTTGTGAGTTGTTTCTTGGTAAATACTTAGGGATTATAGGTTGCTAATCGATTGTTAGCTTTCTTTGAGGTTGATGTTAAGAATCATTATTGGTATTCTAATGGTGATGACTTTCATTATATTGATTCCATAATATTGATTTGCTTAATAGTAGCACAATATATTTTACATTTCTGAATCATCTAAGTGATGTTTAAAAGGTACTGCCTTTTTAACATTCTATTAAAGTGGAATTTATTCAGTGATTTTTGGTGTAACTTTGGGAGGTATTAATTTTGGTTGACTATGATATTTAATCTGTTATTCTGGTTGAATATGTTTCTCTAGAGAGAGAACCTTATTCCTCAAAGTTTTCAATTCTTAATGAATAGACTTTTGTTTGAATGAATCTAGATAATAATCAAAATTACTCGCTAATAATTTAATTGCTTCCTGATTTATATCTTCCAGTTTTTGCTTTGCAAACCCTATGCCAAGAATCACAAGGTATTTAAATTAATTTATCATTCTTGATGAGGTTGAAATCTTCTACAAATTTATTCAGGTATTTCAATTCCATTTATATTTTTAACAGTTAATTTATTAAATGCTTAGGGCAACATATGAACATATTATTCATGTAGAGTCATTTAAAAATATTGATCTCTTCAATCAAGGACTGTATTACTTAAGATTTATGATCAAATCAAATGGAGAATAAGCTACTCCTTATAATTATTTTGAAACCAATAATAATAAGAAAAAAGAATCTTGGCAACCAAGTCAGATTGATGAACAATACTTTTAAACTAGAACATTTATGATACGATTCCAAGAAGAGGAAGTAGAGATAGATGAAAGCTGCATTTTTAAAATTGAAGTATCCGCATCACCACATTATGAACATGAATTCAAATTAGTATGTGAATTGATGTGTGCAGATTTAGCCAAAATTGGAGGTCCTCCAAATGAAGAATCTCTTTTTAAGTGCGTAGCTACTTTCTAAGGACGAATCTGTAATTCTTATAAGGGAGTTCATGAATATGTTCCAATCATGTTTGATACCAATCATTTTTGTTAGGTTCACTGTACTGTGAATTCTAATCTTCAAGATTTTAAATTCAGACTAAGTGAATTTCAAAAGGCAAATAGCTCCAGAATATTAATTCAGCCAAAAACATTTACAGAGTTCCTTCATAAACACACTAGCAAATTTACTAAGAGTCAAGAATTCTTTGATTACTATATTGGATAATTGAGATTAACTAGTGAATCACTGTAATAATAAGTGGCTAAGCTTTGTGGTTAATTAAAATTATATGAGGAATTATCTAAGTTACCTACTATTCCTAAATTCTCGTATATCCAATATCAGGAATCTTCCATTATAAAAGAGAACATTAATACAAAAGGTAATATGCTAATTTCAGATGTTCTAAATTTAAAGAATATTAGAGATTAAAACCTGTTATCTACTCTCATCGAAAATGATATAAATCAATATTCCTCTGTTCTTTTTGAATTACAAAACATACTCATTAATATCATTTAAAACAATTCAAAATAATATAGAATATTATTGCAATAAGACTATCAAGTTAAAATAAAAGATAAATGGGGAGAAACCTATTTTAGAGAAGTTATTAAATGTAATTCCTTTTCCAATGGCACTTTATGTCAGAAATAGCATCAAGATGTTAGTGATCAAATTAGAAAAAAACCTATTATCATGGAATAATAATTGGATATTATAGATGAGAATCTATTCTCTGATTAAAAGTAGGCAACTGTGCTATTCGAAGAAATCTATCAGATTAGTTAACCCTTAGTTTAATAGGAATAACTCTTGCACTTAATTGTTTTAGTGCATGGATTTCAAGGAAATTCTTTGGATATGAGATTGATTAAGAATAATCTTTAATTAGAATATCCAAATCATCACTATTTAATGAGTAGAGCAAATGAAGATCTGACTGATGGAAATCTCGCTGATATGGGTTAGAATCTAGCTTAGGAAGTCAAATAATACCTCTTAGATTGGATCAAAACTAATCCTTTTCGTATCAGTTTTCTTGGTCATTCCATGGGAGGAGTTATTGTTAGAGCAGCATTGCCGCATTTGAGTGAATTCAAGGTCAATATGAATACATATATATCATTATCAAGTCCACATCTAGGATACGGTTATAATAACAGTTTACTTATTGATGCAGGATTATGGTTCCTAAAAAGAATGAGAAAATCAGTCTCCTTATAATAATTAGCTATGACTGATGCTGAGTAAATTGAAAACACATTTCTTTATCAGTTATCAAGATAGGAGGGTTTAAATTGGTTCTAGAACATTCTAGTTGTAAGTTCAGCTTAAGATTCATATGTTCCTTTTGAAAGTGCTAGAATATCCAAGAACTTTGAAAGAAGTGATTAAGTATCTTTATTCATAAATATGATAAGAACTCTCGAAAATATGAGAAAATGGTTGATAACATTTTTAAAGGAATGAGAGCAACATAAGTGAGAAGATTAGATGTTAACTTCGTTTTAAATGAGTAAGTATATATACAAACTATTAATTAGAAATCGAACCATTGATAATATGATTGGAAGGTCTGCCCATATTATGTTTCTAGAAAATTAATAACTATTAAGGATGCTGGTAACTTGTGTAGATGGTGTTTTCAATTGATTTTTAATCTTTATTTTATAATTAGTTAGTAAATCATTTATTCATGATCAGCGAATCTGTGGAGAAATTCTAACTGTCAGCAACTTTGATTGTAGGTGTTAAAAGCCATCCTGGTGATTATTGTTCAAAACAGTTTTCGTTAAATGATAATTAATCCACAATGCTATAATTTTTTCTTAAATTTTAGACAGCTAACCCTTGGTTAATTAAGATGAGCACATCTAAATATTGCTATATTTGAATTTTTAAATCATCGAATGATTTATTGTTAGTTAATTAGGACAATACATTTAGAAAACTCTAATTTTGATTAGCTAACAATTATTCATATATTTTAATATTATTTTCTTAAACATAAGCCATCAATGTCTAAGAAGATTATATTGATTATTAAATAGAGATTGCTTGTCTTGGTTGGAAATCATTGATATCAACGGATTCCATTTATGAGAGCAAATCATTTGTGTAGGTGACTTTAGATTGTACAAGTTAGATGAATTATTACTCTTTTTCAAATAGTTCTGAACATTAGGTAGTCTAATCCTACGTTATTAATTCACATTAGGTGGATTAGTCTTTGTATACCTTAATATTTTATTCGATTTTGTTTTCATTGGTTAATTGAGTTTAACATTTGATTTTATTCATGTATGTGTTGCTGTTGGCATTAAAATTGATGACTTCAGGAATAGCTTTGATATGGAGTTCTTATTTGGGGATGGATATCTGGTTGATAAATTAATAATAATTATTCATTTAAATGAGATATTAGGAATAAATTTTATTTTTTATAAGTGCTTGCACGTTAATCTATTTCGCATATGAAAATGATTATGATAATATAAAAAATAGATACAGAGGAGTTTGGGGAGGCATTATATTTATATGTATGATGGGTTCATTAAAATCCTATGATGGTCCAATAAAGCGTTTTTAAGGATTTTGGAGATTTATGTTTTGGTTGGGAGTATGTTACAATGCTTTTCTGATATTTCTGATATTTTAAAATGAGAGTGAAGCGAGATAATTGATGAAACTGGGTGATGATAGCTTAGGAAGATCGGTAACAAAAGATATGCACACTTATGATGATAATTGTGATTTTGAATTAGTTAACATAGTGGATAATTTGGATCATTATTTCTTGTTGCATTGTTTAAATTGGTTTTTATTAGCATTTTTACTCAGAGATGCTTGGTTATTAAATTTCTGGTAAATATTTGATGAAGTAATTGAACTGTCTTGGCAACACATTTTACCTCATTTTCGAGAATGCTGGTGGGATCACGTGTTGCTAGACGTATTAATTGGTAATACTTTGTTTGTGTTCTTGGGATTATGGGTTAGTAAGAAATTAGGGATTGAATAATTTGATTGGTTGGGTAGGAAGGACAAATCATTTACTTAATGGTTGGTGTGGCATGACTATAAGTATTTTGCAGCAGCATTTGGAACTTGGTTAGCAGTGACAATAAATTTCTTGACTGGATTTTTCTTAATGAATTAATTGTGGGTGCCACCTAAATGTTGGATGGTATCATATAGATTATTTGTCTGGTTTGGAATGGGAGTACTGAGTTGGTAGGAGTAATGGAATGATTTGAAGGGAAATTAAGATCAATCAGGTTAATGTAGATATTTGGTTGTGTGGACTCTCTTTGCGGAAACATTTATAAGCATAAAATTTTTGAAGGATGCTGGAAATATTTAATATGTTGACACCCCATATTATATATCAATTCCATGGATAGCCACTATGGTAATTAGTTCAGTGGTGTATTTAATAATGAGAGTGAAGAACAAGAGAGTATAAAGAGTGAAGGTAAAATGAGTATTAATTATAAAAATAATAATTAATTATAAATGGATTATTGTATTCGTAAGACCGAAATGACTGACAACAAAGAAGATGATGGTAAGGATGGGTGATAAATAATTAGTTACATTTGCTAGTTATGAATGGGAAAATATCAAGGCAACAACTGCATCGTAATTGCCAACTTGTAGGAATTGTCACACAGCCACAACATTTAAACACTACATGATCATCTTTGGTGGCAAAGAAGGTGAAGGCAGGAAGAAGTTCTGTAATGACATACATATTTTGGATTTAAAAAGATTGAAGTAATAAATTTCTAGTAAAAGACAAGTTGGACATCATAAATCAAAGTAAATGGATAGATCCCAGATGTAAGAATGGGACACAGTGCTTAAAATTATTATGATAAAATTGTCTATTATGGAGGATGGAATGGGTACACAGTGTTGGATGATATTATTATGATGACTCCGAGCGAATAAATGAATATTGTTTGTATAGATTGGCAACATCTTAAATCAGAGAATACTCCTCCAAAGAGACAGTTTCATACAGCCAATATTTGTGGAGACTTTATGTATATTTTTGGAGGCGGAGATGGTAAAATGTGGTTGAGTGATCTATACAAATTCGATCTCGTTAAATGTTTCTGGACTTAAGTAGAAACTACAGGACAGAAACCATAAGGCAGATTATAACATAGTTCTGTTATTTATGACCATAAAATTTATGTTTTTGGTGGTGAACCTGACAGATCTCATCAATTAAATGACTTATATTAATTGGATATTGAAAACAATCTATGGACACGTTTGTAACCCAAGGGAAGTACACCATCTCCAAGAGTTAGTGCCTCTGCTGTTATGATGAATAATAAGATCTATTTGTTTGGAGGATATGATGGATAACAATGGAGAAATGATGTCTTCATGTACAATATCACTGAAAATCAATGGGAATATATAGTCATCAACACTTTAGACAATTAATCTAATTTCCGAGGATAAACTAAAGATAGCACATCATAATAATCATCACCTCCCAGACCCAGATGTCGACATTCTGCTATTGCCTATAAGAATACCATTGTGATCTTCGGAGGTAATGATAGTGAGAAATCATATAATGATGTCTATATGCTCAAACAATAGTCAATCATCAAATTAGCAGAATCTACACTCAAACAAGATTATTCAAGCATTCTATTTTCTCCTATTTTGAGTGACATCACATTCTATATTGATAATCAAGAGATTCATGCACATAAAATTATACTGGCATCTCGTTGCGAATACTTCAAAACTCTATTTTTAAACGAATAATTCAACTTAGGAGATAAACTAGCTATCACTGATACTTCAATTAATGTTTTCAAGGGTATTCATTAAATAATTTAATCGCAATAGCAATCTTATAGTACATTTATACTGACGAAGTCTTCATCGATTCCCATATTGTATACGATTTATTAGCATTGGCAGATAAGTATATGTTGTAGAGACTTAAGAATTTGTGTGAAGATCATTTAGTATTTATTCAGATTTCATTAATTATAGATTAAAAATATTTCACTGAAAAATGTGATTGATGTTGTCAATCTGGCTGATAAATTCTCGGCATAAGAATTGAAAGCCAATGCCATGATCTTTTTACTCGATAATAAATAGAAGATACTGAATACATAAGATATTAATATGCTATCAAAAGAGATATTAATAGAATTGTTAAAATTTACTAAATGAATATATTATAATCATATAACTATCAAGTAGTTTATCATCATGGCCAAAATCATCAGTTATGGAATGAATAACCATTTCATTCTTAACTTAGAAACAATTACAATTGTACTAATCAGGTATAAGATTACCATGACTAATAAAAATATATTGTCTCCGCCATTTAGTATATTTATTATTGCCACTGATGATAATAGCAAATGAACATTAATCAAATAATTTACTTTCGGTCTTATTATTTATGCTATTGATTAATTCTTGCACTATTCATTTCAATTCGTTACCTCCAGCTATTATTACTGTTGTTAAGAAAGATCCTCCTCGCTTTTGCATTACTGTTGTTCCTCAGCCTCTACTTATAATTGCATATCTCACCTTCAATCACAAATTAGTTTCTAGGTAAATTCTACGATTTATAGCTATTCATTCTAATCTTGCGATTCTAATGTATGTTCTCTTTCCATTTGAATTTCGACAATATTGCATAGCCAAATAACACTAAACTACTCATTAACCAAAAGAATTCAATAATCTACCCTTCAATCATAATATTTTAATTAACGAATGAATAATACACAAAGTATCTCATATTCATTTATAATCAATTTAAGTTCCAATATATTTTATAACACAATTACTAGACCACATTAAATTATCATGCATTTCTTAATCTTCTAAAATAATTTGTTTAAGTTATCAAAATAACATCTATTCATTAAATTACTACTTCTTAACTTATAATGTTATCATACACAATTGCTTGATAATAATAGATAGCAATATTCATTTTCAAAGTATATATGAAATTTAAAGTAGAAATTCTGGAAAGTCTTACAAAATTTGTTGTTTAATATTTTAATAGCATTTGGAACTTTCTAATTTGGTGTTCAAAGCTTAAAATAAATTCAGTTTGTGGAAGTGAAAAATGGTTATTGCAAAATGAAATTTGTTGCTGCTATATTAGAATAAATTAGTTTTTTGGTGGTTAGTTTCCCCTTAATATTGATTGATATAATCTATATAAATTTAATTTATTTAAAATGGGACTGGCTTGTTCTTCCAGCAATCATAAGCCACACAATTCTAAAATCAACGAAATCAAATTGCCTATTATGATTGCAGAGAATTTCATTAATATCATAGGATAATTGGAATTATCCAGCGATATTCCTGATGATCTTCGCTATAATTTAAATCAATTAATTATACTGAGGAGCAAGCTGGCACATTGTATCGTTCGTCTACAGAAACGATACTCTCATTATCACTTGACAGAATTAGAAAATGAACTTACAAAAGTTATTCATTTTGTAGATATTGTTGTACAAGATATTCAGCTAGAAGAGTATTTTCCTTTGGTATATACATTCCTAGTGGAATAACTGGAGATACACAAATAAAATTTGAAATAATAGGTATGATAAAGAGAGTGACATTATTAAATTAAATTTATAAATTTGAAATAATAATTATACATCATTTTACTTGTATTTGGTGGACTTTATAAGAGCTTAACATGTTGTATTAAGTGAGTTAAGCATTTCAAATAGCAATTCAATAATAAATCTGAGAAAGTAAATAAAAAGATCATAATTAATATATTATATGATTTTTCTGATTGTTACATTATTTATTGTCCATCACAAATAAAATGTATTCAATAAACTTCCCTTCTAATTTGTTGAGTCTTATATAAATAAATTAACATTATTTATAAATACTTATATTACAGATAATAATAATGAGACAGATCCACTGACACTTGTACTATTTCATCACTACATATAATTTTATTAATATAATAAATCACAAATTGCTATTGCTTTCTAAATAATTATGTTCTACTTTTTTCTAACGTTGAGCCTCTTTTTCTTTTCTAGCAATTTTTCTAAAGTATGGGTCTTCTTAAAAGGATTTCAGTTTGAAATTTAATGCAGCTGAATTAATACTATATTTAATGAATGTTGGAGGAGGTCCATCAAAGGAAACCTTTCCAACAAAACTGTCACATCCAGCACAACACAAATCCCTTTCTTCCTAAAAGAGAGATGAATGAGTATTAATACTTTAATGTTTGATTCCTCTAATTTTACGCTATTAGGTATGTGATTCCAAAATTATGCATATCCTGTAGTTGATTTGTATTTAGAGTCAAAAGAAAACAATTGATTATCGCAATGCTAACAGTGATATGTTCCAACTTCTTGATTCTGATGAGATAGATCATTAAATTTACAAACCAATATTCTCCTGTATAAGGGCGTTCCATTCCTTTACCAGCTGCAATCCAATATTGATGTGGAGTCAGTGCTAAACGATCTACTTTGATAAGTTTGCTGAATGCTTAGTAATATAGACGCATCATAATTAAATAATTAAATTTAAGAAATAATAGATGTAACAAATTACGATAAGGTCATTCCGTTATAATTTATCGATTGCAGCAATCAAAACACTTACATTTCTCAGTGCAATTCTAATTTCTTAAAAAACATTCACAGTATCTTTTTCTGCATTTAGACTTAGTACAAGAACATCCATATATTACGTCCAATTTAAAGAGGGCCTCTTTTGGAATTTTTCTGTTTCTATAACATTTTTCATTCACGTGTTTTATTGCCTCACTTCTTTCACAATTATTATGTTCCTTATTCAGACATCCATCCTAACATTAACACTCTGGCAAGCATGTTTTTCCACTATGAAAGCAACGGCAATAGCGTTTGATACACCCGCTACTTTTACAATTGCAAGGCTGTTAACACTTTAAACTAGTAATATTTAAAATTTTCGTTTTCTTTTAAATTTTAAATGCTTAGGATTTGGTACTTATTTTCTTGGAAGTAATATTGACAGCATCCAATTAATCACTTTTTTACATTAGGCATTCTAAATCCACTTACTATTCCAAACCTTAATTATTTTCGTTTTATATTTGAGTTAGGTCTTACTTAAAATAATTGTAACAATATGACCTACCAGATCTTAAAATCAAAGATTGTTAACCAGGAAAATTGAGATTAGAAGGTTTTATACTCCAATTTAATGGAATTTACTCATAGGAATTGATATCATAGATGATTTGTGGAGATCTTAGAAATTCTTACTATTCGAAATCTTTTTTTAAGTCTAGTGACGAAGGTGAATTCATGAGCATTTGATTTTGAGGACTACTATTCTATTGAAAAGGATGATCTTAAGAAAAAAAATTATCTAAGTACATAATCGTATAATTAATATTAATAATTAATAATTAATAATTAACTAATGGACCATTAAAATAATAATACAAAGCAAAAGGATTTTGCTGGTATCTTGTGCTCGTAATATGCCAAGTGCTTTTAAATCGTAACCCCCAGACCAGACCATAAATAAATTCGACGCCCATCCAGAAGGTCTTTATTGACCCGACTTAGAGGATCTATGAAGACATAGTAGTGAGCGAGTATCTTGATGAACATTCAATTGTTGTGGAATAAAATGATATCTAAGTGCCATAACCATTTATCGAGTGGAAAGATTGCCAATTTCCGAATCAATTAAATAAGCGCATATCACTCAAAGCTTACAATAGGCCCACTCCAATTTAAGCATCAGGTTAAAATTACTATTATTACTTTTAGTGTTTCCTATAATTATGTCTGGTCATGATTTGATAGGAATTGCTTAAACAGGATCTGGTAAAACAATAGCCTATTTGCTTCCTGGACTCGTTCATATAGAGAGTCAACGCAAAAAGGGAGGACCAATGATGTTGATACTTGTGCCTACAAGAGAGTTAGCAATGCAAATACAAGGTACTAAAAGAACACATAATTTTAGAGCATATTAGTTATTTTTCTGAAGCATACAATATGAATTCTGCCTGTATTTATGGCGGTGCTGATAAGAGACCTTAAGAAATGGCATTGGCCAGAGATCCAGACATTGTTGTGGCAACTCCAGGGAGATTGATTGACTTCCTAGATGCTCAAGTAACAAATCTTCACAATGTTACATATTTGGTCTTAGATGAAGCAGATCGTATGCTTGGTATCATAATAATATTTATATAAAAAAGATATGGGATTTGAATAGCAAGTCAGAAAAATTGATAGCTATATTAGAGAAGATAGACAAACTGTATTCTTTTCAGCCACTTGGCCAAAAACAGTTTAAAATCTAGCATGTGATCTATGTCACAATGAACCAATTAATTTATATATTGGAAGTCAAGAAGTCACCATTAACAAAAATATTACATAAGAAACAATTTGTTTATATCAAAATGAAAAACAGGAAGAGTATAAAATTGAAAATCTATTTTTAGATTACTTTATATTTTGGAAGAATTATCCAACAAAGATAAAGTTTTGATTTTTGTTGAAACTAAAAAGGACTGCGAGGACTTGGCCAGTTATTTATCTGAACATGGATTCTTTTGTATGTCTTTGCATGGTGATAAGACTCAATAATAAAGAGATTATGTCATGAAAGAATTCAAGGCTTCCAAATGCAAATTACTATGCGCTACTGATGTTGCATCAAGGGGACTTGATGTGAGAGACATTAGTTTAGTTATCAATTATGATTTCCCTAATTAAATTGATAATTATGTCCACAGAATTGGGAGAACTGGTAGAGCTGGTGATAAGGGAAGAAGTATTACTATGATTACTTTGGATGCCATGGATCCAAGAGTTGCAAAATAATTGGTTGATGTATTAAATGCAGTTAATTTAAGCTATTAAAAGACTCAGAATAGGTTGTGAATGACGATCTCTATGATTTCGCCTATTCAAGTATGTATATTTTGTCTATCTTAGAACCATATCAAAAGAGCAAGAGACCCAATCAAAGGAAAAAGCCTAATGATAAACCTATTACCCAATCCAAACCTGTTAATAGCAACAATCTAAATACCTAAAAACCATAGCAGAAGCAGTTTAATTTGAAGGCATCATCTCCTGTTAAATAATCAACATCATCGATGCCCCCTCCCCCAGAATTGAAGAAAGCCTTTTCAGATGCTCCAGTCTTTGGTTTTTTCAATTCAAAAAAAGAATGATATATACATATTTAGATATTAAATTATAGCAATCAGAAATCCTACTATTTTGACATTTTCATCCAAATACTACGTAATATTATTAAAATGTGTTCATCAATAATTATATCATAATGGGAAATTGCATTAAAGAATATAATAATCACTCCTCTCTTTAAGATTGTCCAAGAAAAGAAATATTTGAATAAGACTTCTCCAATCTAAAAGCATGCCATAGAAGAAAAAAGTCAAGATTATTGAGCTAAGTTTAAAGCATTGTTATAAAAGAAGACCCAGAAACGGAGCAGGATCAAAATTCATCTTTTGAACTAAATTCTTAATTTTAGATTGAGTAGAGTGCAACCATAAACCTGATTAGGTTTCCATAGGGACTTAAGATGGAAAAGCATCACTAAATTAAGTTATATAATCTACACACTCAAAGATACCTACACTCCCATGCTATTAAGCATGAACACAATAAATCAAATGAAGTAAGCACTTGCAATAATTGCAATTATGAATATGACTGGTGGCAAATTATATGGATGGACAATAAAACCTATGTTTATCATCCTATTACATAATCGTATTTAAAATGTTTACAAACCATAAATAACATGGGGGAAGTTGGTTGTTTGTAAAATGATATGGATGAATGGGAAATCATTGCAGATGACGAAGAAATCAAACAATACTCTATTATTAGTATTATTATTCTAGTATATTAGAACTTAAACATATATGTACTGGACTTTATTTACACACCTAACCTTACTAAAGTAAGATCGAAAATTAACATATTGTATCTGTCTGTAAGCCGGAAGTGGCTAATGCTTTATGGAGAATCACAGATATGCAATGATTTGTTATTTATTTATTTTGCTATTCATTTTTGATTTTGGCTTAAATAAGTTTCCAGCAATGCCTTGGCTGAATTATCAAAGATCAACCCCCTGATATCATAAAGTAATTAGATTTTTTTATTGTTTATTGCAACCTGAACGGCAGAACTCTGCTATCCAATCCTTATTAAGGTTCTACAGGATTCCTAGAATATACTAAAGAAATACTTCAACATCAGGCATTTTCATGAGTATAGAAATACCTCTTTCCTCTTGATCTGCTTTAAACAGTAGTTCTGCCACTAATTCGTATGGTATTATAATAGATTTCTTGTTCTTCTCCTACATAAACTTATCCAATTCATCCCAATTCTTCTTATTGATTAAGGTTTTAACTCTAGTCAAGTAAATTCTATTTATGAGTAAAAATAGTACCTACGATCTGGTATTTTGTATGTTTTAGCGAATTCATGAGCGAAATCTGGTTTGTCCTTAACGAAAAAGGCTTCCATGATTGAATTAATAGGTCTTTCTTCCATGATGTTTTGGTTTGGCTTCTTTCTGCCTTTTTCTACTTCGGATTTCAAATCTTTTAGTATTATGATTTATTCAGCTATGATTCTCTTATAAAATTAGTCGGTTTCGTCATCTGCAAAGTACTTTAAAGCTTGATCTAAGAATTTGATTTTCTCATCTAAATTGTTTTGTTGATAAGCTTAGTTGATTGCTAATAAGCCACATTCATCAAATTTCTTGTAATATTGTAAATATTTTTACAAATATTTATCATCAAAATTTCTTACAATAATAGACTAACAATGCTTATGAGACTGGATCTTGTCTGACGAGAGTGCTAAATTTATAAGTCTCATTCATTTCAGTTTTTAAGAATTTCATTATCACAAAATATAGTAGATTGGAATCTTTTGATATAATTGCATCAGCTAATGCTTTTTCATAATAAGAGTTATTATTATTAGCTGATTGGAAATTGGCCATCCAAATCAAAACTGGAATTCGTTTAGATAGACTCTACTCGTTATCCAATAGTTTTAAAGCCAATTATTATTTTCCTATTTCAATTGATTTCTATGCAATCTAAGTGAATGAGACTCCTCTTTCTTCTTTTATTTTCTCCTTAATTATTTCACATAGGACATCATCGTCTTCTTGAACTTCAACTTTGCGACACGCCCAATGTGTATAAATAGAGGCCCTTTATTTGATTTAAAATTTAAGAAAATTAGAAACTTCAACAGCTAGATAATGTAAATTATATCTTAATAGCAACCCTATCATAATATCTGGAATCTTAATCAATTGCAATACTTATTCATATGTTACCACTCTTCCTCCCACTCCTCCACCTCTTCTCAAGGAATTAACGACTCTCAAATATCTAGCTGTTTCATTAAATATATTCGGGTCTAAATTTTGAGTTCCCAAAAAGATCTTGCCGTAATTTCCTGACTTTAATAATTTTATCTAATATTCAGGGTTTATTTCAAATTATGCACATCTTACACAATCACTTACTGCCTCGCTCAACAGACTTTTACTATTTCTCAATTCATCATCCTCAATAGGATTCTTTTGTTCAAAAGACTCATAAGCGCAATACAATTAAGCCCCTGGTTTAACAGAGAGTTGTTCAAATACATTAATATACGAATCAGGCAATTTCCTTAAAATTTCATTCTTTTTTTTGTGTTAACACTCTTAAACCATCATACTCAGATTTCATAGCAAAATGCTAATTATTCATTTTTATTTTTGTATAGGAATCTTAAGATACTAAAACAATGTATTATTACAATTATAGAACTACACAATCATCTCCACACCAAAACATCTTTTTTGGTCGTTCTAAAATGCTGAGATCTTTCTCTGCTGTTTCATCTTTTTTTACATCATCCTCTTTCAAATCTATGGGCATCTAACGATACTCTGAAGATTCAAAATAGTTAGTAATAAATGCCATAATCCACCTTTAACCATAATATTACAACAAGGCTAAATTTTTGTATGTTGGTGATAGACTTAACATTTTAATATTTCTTAGATCAGGAAGTTTCTTATCAATTTCACTTGTAATCTTGTCTTTATTATAATAAATCTTCCACTTCTCATTCTCAATTATATGTAGTATGCCTCCATCAGGATTGGCTATCAGTAGTTCTACCTTACCACTTGATGACTTCTCAGAAGGAATCACTTACCAATGCTCTGGGAATGAAGTAAGATTGGATGGTTTGAATTACTAGACTTCAGGCTCATGAGCATTTTGGACATAATAAAACTCAAAGTTCATTGCCATCAATACAAATCCATTATTCACAATGAGAGCACTTTAAATCTGATTTAGCTTGAATTATTCCCCTAAATCATGGTTTTTTTTGGTTCCTTTGAAAGGATCAATTATATAGTAGACACCACTTGCTTTGAGTAATATCAGATGTTCATCTTCAAGAAAATCAAATAATGGAATCTAATTTGATTATTTTTCAATTTACCTTATCGGCTTCTTTGTATGGGGTTCTTGACATAATTTTACCGCTGTTGGTAAAGAATACTATGGAATCTTTGAGAATATCGTCTGTTCGCATGAGTATAACCTAATCAAAATTTTTTGTTGCTGCCAAAGGACCACCCCATTTGGCTACAGCTATGTGCTAATAGTAAAAGTCAAGGAACTTTTGTTCACCTGTTATGGGATTGAATTAATGAAACTTATAGTATTTTTTATTTAATTCTTTCCATTGTGTACTTGGATCCATAAAAATATTAATATTAAAAGAGTGACAAGAATAGTGAAAATTGAACTAATGAGAATATCGTATATATAGTATATATGAAAAAATTAAATGCGCGCCGATTTGTGAGCATATATATCTGAAATTCAAAAAAAAGAAGAAAAATTTATCATATAGTTTTTTTTTTACCTTTTTGTCCCTTATTATTTTATAAATGAGTGATTTAGAAAGTGAGAATGACCCAACCAATAGACAATCAGATAGACTACGAGAAAAGTAGAAGAGAAAGTATAACATGTTAGTTACATTAGTAGGTACAACTTAATGGAAGAAGAAAACTACCGTGAAGAGTAAAATGGAATTAGTAATGAAAGACGGTCTGCCAGAGCGATCAAGAGGAATTATGCAGCTACTATGAGTGAGGAAGAAGAGTCAATGAATGAACCAACTTTAGAAAGTGAATCAAGGCGTATATTCGTTCCTGAGATTGATCAAATTTTGTGGCGAAAAACAGAGCCACATACAGATACTCTTTAATATTTGGTTAAATATAAAGACCGAAGCTATTTCCACACTGAATGGCTTGATGAATTGAGAGTATGTTGAATTTATTCATAATGGTCAGATCCTTAACGAGAAGAATGGGAAGTAGAAAATCAATCGATTCAATAAAGTGTTTGATAAACGCATTATGGAAGAATTTGAGGAAGTTGTTGATGCTCAGTATTTTGATCCAGCATTTCAAGAAGTCGATCGAGTATTATCATGTACAGAAATATTTCCAATTGTTCATCCAAAAAAAGGATCCGAAATGAAAGGTAAGTGGGCAGAGAGTCTAACTAAAGTCATGTCTCATTTACTCAATTTTAGTAGGAATCAAGTTCATTTTGGAGTGTACTTTTTGGAAAGCAAAGCAATCCTTGATTTTGGCACCATAAATAATCGTTTATATTTGGGATAGTACAAAACTAACAATGAGTTCTGGAATGAATTGGGGACAGTATTCAGAAGTGCTAATCAAGAATTTCAAGAAAATAGTGAAATGAGATAAATTAGCGATACTTTGAGAGAGTGTGCAATAGTACTCTTTAATTAATGGTATGAAGAGGCAAAAAAGAATTACGAATAAAAATTATCTCAATAAAGGTACATAAATGAAGAAGCATACAAAAATAAAGTTAATGATGCACATAGAAATGATATCATGCCTGAATTGAAGAAGGAAAAAATAAATGAATTAGTGCTCAATGTCCTAAATATTATTGATGAGAAATAATACACAATCTAAGAGAACCTATCAGAAATTGAATCCATTATCTATGATAAGTTGAACCTAAAATTGGAAATTAAAAATTAAGACTTTTTTGATCTTGAAGATTATCTTAGATCATAACTGTAAACCAAAGACGTTGATGTTGCTTAAGAAATGCAATTGGAAATGCAAGATTTCTAATAATAAATGGATAGTGTTGATCCAGATATAGAGGCATGGAATCCAGGAGAGAAATCTTTTGATTGGCTATAAATGGATGTCTTGTAGTTTAAAATCTTAACAGAATAAGAAATTCAAAAATTGTCATAAGAACCAGATCGCTTGTACTTAGTCAAGTGGAAACACTTGTCTTATTTAGAAGCCACATGGGAACCTGAATCTTTGATAGATTGTAGATAAAAGATTTAAGAATTTAAGTAATTCAATAGAAGTTTAGATAAAGAAACAAGGAATCTTATGATGCAATAAAATTCTAATCACAAAACACTTGTGGATTTTGAATTAGGACTTCGAAAGAAGAAATTATCAAATCTCTAAATTAGCGAAATTAGAAATTAATTGTATTTCTTGAATCAAAGAAAACCACCTCATGAATATACCTAACTTACACAAACTATTTACAAAGATAGAAGATTGTTAAGAGATTATTAACTTGATAGTCTGAATTGGCTCATCAGAGCTTGGTATGAGGACAGAAATGTGATCTTGGCTGATGAAATGGGTCTCGGAAAAACCATACAGACAATTGCATTCCTGAATCATTTATATAATTTTGAAAACTATAGAGGACCATTTCTAATTATAGCTCCATTATCTACATTACAACATTGGAAACGTACTGTTGAAGAATGGACTAATTTAAATGCTGTCCTATATTATGATTAAGAAAGTAGTGCTGGTAGAGCCTTATGTAGATAATATGAGTTTTTCTATACTGATATTAGTATGAAAGGTATTGTGCTCCAAGCGTCTGAAATCTACAAATTTTAGATCTTGATTACCAGTTATGAAGTTTTTATGTAAGACTTTTAAGCCATATTCATTAACATTCCATTCTAATATATCGTAGTGGATGAGGCTCATAAATTAAAAAATTCAAATGCCAGAATTTTATAATCCTTAAAAAAGCTTTGTTGCTAAAGGACGTTATTATTAACTGGAACACCTATTCAGAATAATACTGAAGAATTATTCAGCTTACTTAATTTCATTGAACCATATCAATTTTCAAACTTAATTAGTTTTAAAAGAGAATATGGATAATTGGAGACTTCAGATTAAGTGGAAAAATTGAATGTGTTGCTCAAACCATATATTTTGAGAAGACAAAAGGAGGATGTGGAATAGATGATACCTCCTTTGTAAGAAACTATTATCGATATCGAAATGACTACTATCTAAAAACATATATACAAAGCGCTTTATGAAAGAAATAAGTCAATGTTGGAGTAAGGATTTTCTTAGTGGGCTGCCAATGCTGCTTCTTTAAATAATTTAGAGATTCAACTTCGAAAGTGTTGTAATCATCCATTTTTAATTTAAGAAATGTAAAATGATTTGACGAAAGGATGCTCAAATAAAAATGATTATATATTAAAATTGGTAGAGTGTTCAGGGAAAATGATTCTGTTGGATAAGTTATTGAATAAATTTAGAAATGAAGGCAAGAAAATGTTGATCTTTTCATAATTTACAATGATGTTATCTATTTTGGAAGAATATTTAAAATTTAGATAAGTGAAGTATGAAAAGATAGATGGGTAGATAAAGGCAAGAGAAAGATAGAATGCCATTGATAGATTTAATGATCCTTAGAAAAAGAGAGAAGTATTTCTATTGTCTACAAAAGCAGGTGGATAAGGTATCAATTTGACAGCTGCTGAAATAGTTGTGATCTATGATTCTGATTGGAATCCTCAAAATGATGTTCAAGCAACAGCTAGAGCTCATAGAATTGGACAATCAAAAGAGGTCACTGTTTATAGGTTGATTACTAAGGATACTTATGAAGCAGAGATGTTTGAAAGAGCAATCAAAAAATTAGGATTAGATTAAGCTATATTTATGAGTGGACAATTCAAATCATGTGAAAGTTCATTCAAAATTAACAAGAATGATAAAAAGATGAGTAAATAAGATATGGAAGTATTATTGAAGAATGGAATTATAGGTTTAATAAGTCATAATTAAAATGGAGACACATTTTAAGAAAAGAATATTGATGAAATATTAGAAAAGAATTCAAGAACTGCAAAATACTCTTTAATTAATGGAACATATACAGTATCGAAGTAGTCCTTCGTTTCTGAAAAAACAGATAAATCAATCAGTATTCAAGATCCAAATTTTTGGAAAATAATCTTAAAAAGTCAGGAAAGCAGATGTTAGAAGTTAATAAAATTATTTGATATACATATGTCATTATAAGAACAGAAAAAATATATGGAGGAGGTCGGAGATTGTGTTAATTCCTTAATAGAATCCAAATTAAGTTAATCTAATTATAGCACTGATGATGAATAAATATTAACAGATTTGTTGAATAAAATTAATTCGTCAAATTATGCCAAAAATTATAGAGAATTATCAATGAATTGGATATATGAATTGAGTAAACCTTCAAGGAGAATCAAGAAATTAACAGACATGGATTTGGGTCGAAAATAACAAAGGACAGTTGAAATCTAAGGTGAAGATGCAAGAAGATTGGCATCAAAAAGCAAGGAAGAATTAATTAAGAAACTATGTTATGTGTGTGAAAGACCCAATTGTTCTGTCTTTTGTATGGGACATTGCAGAAGGGCTTTCCATATAGCTTGTAAGGATCTATTAGAAACAACAGAGTATATTAATATTGAAGGACCTGATTAAGATTTTCTTAACAATCATTCATTTCCAGAACTCAATTGGAGTGAAGAATAATTGAAGGAAAATGTCAACATTAGATATTCTTGTCCTGATTGCAGAAATAGTTTAGTAGTTTGTCTTTTATGTAAAACAAAAGGAACATATCCTCCTGAAAAGAAATAGAAAGAAGAAGTGATTGCTTCATCTGATGAAAACGATCCTCTTGAAGACAATGTGAGGAAGATCAAAAATAAATCAGCTATTTCAAAGTGTTCTACCGCTAATTGCAATAGATACTTCCACTTAAATTGTATATAAGCTAATCCATTATCTAAGACTCTAGATTCAAATGTGGAATTGTTTAGATGTCCTTCTCATGTTTGTGTATTTTGTAAGGTGAACTCTTCTAATACAACTACAGCCTTAATCCATTGTGTTAGATGTTGTAGATCATTTCATAGTAAATGTGCACCTCCTGAAGTGAAATCGAAAACATAGAAAATTGGAAAGAAGGTTATGATTTGTGATTTGTGTGCGAAGTAGAAGGAAGAAAAATTCGAGGGCAAGATGATTGTCAAAATCTCAATTAAGGGATATTAAAAGAAATAGAAATAAGCAAAATTAGATTTTAAATAATTTGGAACTACTGCAAGAACCAGAAGAATTTATGAGAAAAAAAATGAAACTACGCCCAATGATAGACGACAATTAGATTCCAGCAGAAGCAACAGTCAAGATAAGATTGTCAAGAAAGTCTAAAGAAAATAATTCAAATAAGATATTCATCCTTATTCTTATGAAGAGTTGGGCATCATTCCAGTTAAGTATTTCGATTATTCCAAATACACCAATGTAATATATATTCTCTATTGACTTAGGATTGGTGCAGATATTGTGGTGCAAGGTTTGCATCTAATTTTACCAAAGGTCCTTGGGGCTCCAGAACTCTATGCACTATCCACTATATCAACTGGGGGTAGAAGAAACAACTAGATCTATCAGAACACATTGATACGCCGAAAAGCCCAATCAATAGGGATGATCCTACTGAACTCTAATTCCTTCAAAGGTTAAAATTGTTTTTATATTATAGATAAAAAGCAAAAGATCCAAACTTCGACCCCAGAAAAGAACTTAACATCTACAATGATGAGTAGTATCAAATATTTAACAATGACTGAATCATGTATAATTATGACAAGAGCTGCTAAATTTGGTTCTCTTATAGCCACAATTTTATTTTATCTTATATTTATATATTTTCTCAATTGTTAGCAAGGTATGCTATGAGGTCAGCTCTTTCTTATTCATTTTCAAGACCAGCGAAAGCCATCTTAGTACCAACAACATACTTAGAAGGATTCTTCAAAAACACAAACAAGTGCTTTTCAGACCAGTTGAATCCTGCTCCCTTCATGCCCTTAGAATATGGGAATTGAGTTGATCCTGCCTTTCTTCCTAAAAGTCCTCTAAAAATCATTAAATAAAGAGTTTACCCTAAAGTTGGTGCTGATGCAGTCTTATCATCTCCTTCAAAAGCGTGGCAGGCAGCACATTATTAATCAAAGATATCTCTTCCTTTTGCTGCATCTCCATTTGGAACATTGACATTTGGCTCTTGGATTGTCTTCTTGGGAGGCATATCTGTAAAATAATTTAATTTTAATTTAAAAATGATACGTATACGCATTAGTATTTATGCAATTATCAAGAATTAAATTTTATGTGAACTAAAGCATGAATACTATGTAGTCCTATTCTTTGAATTGCTATTAAATAGAGAAAAATAAGAAGAAAACTAAAAGTATTTCATTTCTAATATAATTTCTTTGTATTTTATAGAGAGACTCATTAATCAAATATTACTTATATTTATAATCATCAAAGTGGTTTGATTTATCTAAAAAATAAATCAATATCGTGTTTATTTTTGATTGAATAATTCGAATTACTATACTTATAAATCAACAATCATATATTGATTAATACCTTTAATATCCGTATATCAGTGGAGAATAGTTATTAATGTAAATGTAACAATCATTTATTATATTGAATTATATAAAAAAATCAAAAAAAATGTAAAAAAATATTAATTCTCAGAAAATTCCTGAAAATCATTAACAAATCTATTAGAAACTTTACAAGCATATTTAAGATACTTATATATTTTAATCAAATTTATTTTATTTCAGGATTTAATAGTAACATTAAAATAATGTATTATCATTATTAAAGTAACAGATTTCTATTGTTCTTGAAAATCACAATTAGATAATATAGAGTTATTTTTGATTTTAAATTACTTTTATACTAAATAATAGATATCATTATTCATCTTTTCATGCATTAATTAAATTTTTTATTCAATTTCAATTAAAAGCTATGGTACTCTGATTCCAAACTCTTTAACATTTTATTAGTTATTCTAAATTTTGATAGAATCGTTTTCTTTATTGATACATCATCTTTGACAGATTTATCAAATTTCTAAATGTATTAGATTAATTCTTTTTCTGTACTGACACTAAATATTTCTGATTTAATCAGCTATCCTAAAAAATGAAGGATTTCATCAAATTCAAGATTTAGAATATGCTATTGAATCAATGAAAATATATAAAATGTGGCTTTATAGAATCCTATTTTACTATTTCATATATTACCTTTCCATTCTTCTGCTAAAAATAAGTCCCATATCACATTCAATAGGGCTGATCTTTAACTATATTGAAACACATTAGAATATAAAGTAATGAACCAAGAAGCAACATAATAAGAGGCATCTATCTTCTAGTCCTTCAAATGTTAAGATAATTCAGGTAAGAAAATACAGAGCAATCTTTCAAAAGCATAAAATCCAGTTTTCTGAAATATATTATCAATTTTACCAATTTAGAAAAATCATTGATGTATAATTCCTTAAAATAGAGATTCATCATTCTATCAAAAGCCTTATATGCTACCTCTTAATCTTAATAAGTTAAATAAAGGTATCCTGCAATGTAATTCATGCCTTAACAATATCCAACCTCTTAATTGTAAAATGCATAAATTCTTAACAAACTTTATAGAACATTTGAATTAATTTTATCTTTGTGAATGTGAAGACTTCTCTAAACATCCAATTTAATTGTTTCTTCATAGAGATTATTAACATCCATCTCTATTCCTACTTTAGTTTTCATTTCAACATAATCAATGTTCAATTATTTCAATTTCAAAGCTTAAGACATCAATCTCAATCTCAATTAGTGAGTAGATTCATCTGAGAGAACTTAAGAGTTTCCCAAATAGAACTTCTTAATTTTGTGTTTCAACTGTTTATTAAAATTGCTATTGAGAGTCAGTAACTTTTATGGTTAATCCTAAATAGATAAAAATCTAATTTAAAATAGAAATTCTTACTTTAAACAAGCTCCACATCCTTAAATTACTTTATTTTCATAAATGTATAACTTGTTTCTTTCGTACTTTTCAGTTTTATGAGTTAAAAGCACTTTACCTGATTTGAAAAGCTTCTTCCATTGAGTGTTATGCAAATCTTCCTATTTCTCCAATAACTTAACAACATGATCCTTATCAATATGTTATTATTATGATGCAATTTGAATGATTATTTCTGCAGATAATTCTGATGGCAATTTTAAGGAATATATAAATAGATTAATTTCATCTAATATCATATAGCAGATTTCACTTTCGTTTACTTCTATCATATTAGATTACTAGGCACCAAAATTCTTGATAATCGATAATCCCTTTCCAATTATTCTTACTCCTTTTTTCAAAATAGTGCTTTAGGTTTATTGCATGATTGATTGAGCTTACTTTCTCTTTTCATCTACTTTCTTGGCACTTATAAATTGAAATAATTCTATCCATCTATCAACTTTAGTCCAAAGAGGAATATCTGATAATTAAGAGGCTAAATTAACTCTCTCTTTTCCATCCATTCTGACTATTCGAATTGCTTTTAATAATAAATCATAAATATCCTCAGATTCATAGATTTCATTCAAATCAACATAATTTAACCAGTGTCTAATTAATTATAACAATTCCATAAACTATTCAGTTGTTAATGTTAAATAGAATTCTATGATAATATTTCAATTTACTTGCTTATTTGTCTTGATATGATTTAGTGTGTAATTTATTCAAAGAAGTTATAAAATAATTTCTGCCCACTGGTTTCTAAAGAATTTACTTTATTTTTATTATTTATTCGCATTTATCTGATAGATCTATTTAAAATAAAGAATATAGATATCTATCTATAAGCTTTTTCTCCTCCTCTAAGATCTTATCGCCAACAAGAGTCCATTAATTTTAAACCTATTATACAGGATGGGCTTAATCATGACTTTGGGGATTCTTTTTCCATTATTCATAACTTATGAACTCTTCGAATGAAAATTTAAAGGCTTTGATTATCATTATATTTCTTACACCCCTCTTAAATTTGCATTCTTTTTTCAATCAACTTCCTAATTGGTATCTTGGGGTCTTATTTCAATTTAAGTTCTAAATCAGATATTTTTTCTTCAAATTATGATTAATCTTAATCAAATGGCAGCAATTTCAATAATGCACTAACAGTTTGCTTCGTAAACATAATCCTATTTTATATTATATTTTGTACCTACTCTATTCATTCAAACCAACATTTGCAAATATAGTATCCCATTCTTAATGAAATAGTTTCCACCTTTCATTTGTTATCTATAGTAATTTTTTATAGTCCTTTTCCATTCCATCTGCCAATTCTTATATTCTTAGAGAATTATTAAATTATCTTTAAAAATCCTCTTTTGTTGCATTTCCTTTTTCAATATGATCTATCATTTATTGTGCCTATTCAGATTTCTATTCAAATAATTTCATTAATTTCCAATATTCCTCTTAAGTTTTACACATTTCTTTTCTAGTTTCTACTATTTCTGCTACTTGCTTTTTGGAATCGCTATTCAAACTTCTATTTGTTTATCTGAAATTCACTACAAATTAAGAGTAAGGTTCAGCAATTTCACTCCTAATTTTTTGAGCTGTATTATCCCAATTTTATGACAATCTTAATAAGTAATTGCTCACTTATTAATATAAGCAAACTAAAATATCTGGTTCATTCCCACTGCTTATTTAAGAGTGAAACTTTCTTCCAATACTTGAAATTGCTGAACTAAAATCTTGGAGGCATGTTATTAATTCTGCGAACTTGAATTATTTGATATAATTACTATCTTTTCAACTCCTGTTACGTTCTAGGTTAACCCAACCATGTATTCGTAAAGCTTGTGTTACTGGAGATTATAATACTCAATAGAAGGATTCATCTTAATTAAATATATATAACTATACAAATTCAAACTTAATTATAAAAGAATTCCAAAATATCTAATACTAAATAAAGGAATTAATAATCAAAAAAAATCACAAATTTCATTTTTCTGGTAAACAATTTATTAAATAACGACAAATTATCAAATTTTCGAAAGGGTGAGAATGTAGAATACTAATAGAAAAAAGTAAAGAAAAAGAATTGCTATTTAATGATATTTCTCTCTAAAAATAATGTTATCATTGAATAAACGCCATAAATAATGAAACTACAATGAGCTAAGCAAATTTACTCTAGGTATAAGCATCGTTAGGTTTGGCTATTATAATAATAATATTAATTACTTCCAGTATTGGTTCCTGTTGTTGTGGTTGTACCAGTTCCAGTTCCTGTAGTGGTTGTAGTTCCGGCAGATGTACCTGTTCCTGTAGTTGTTGTTGTTCCAGTAGATGTTCCAGTACTTGTACCTGTAGATGTACCAGTACTTGTTCCTGTAGATGTTCCAGTACTTGTGCCTGTAGATGTACCAGTGTTTGTTCCTGTAGATGTACCAGTGCTTGTACCTGTGGATGTTCCAGTGCTTGTTCCTGTAGGTGTTGTAGTTGATGTAGCTGGAGCAGCGCATAACGTACATTTGTTAGTGGAAGTAACCCAATGATAGTTTTTTAATGTACTTGAGTAGCACTTAGCTTGTGTTAAGACCTCAACTCCTGAAGCATCCTAACAATTTCCATTCCATTGACACAATGTCAATTTGGAATTATTCCATTAAGGAATAGAAGTGCAATAAAATTCTGTAGTAACATCAGCACAAGTCTTAGGGACACATTTCTTTTCAAGTGTGTATTTACAGGATGAATTTAATGTACATAGGTTGGGATCTGATTATCCATCTTCACAGGAGGTGTATTTGACGGGCATGCATTCTTATGCTTTAGTCATAGGATTTGTTGTCCAAAAGCAGACTTGTGTTGAGCTTTGATATCCTTTGCAGTCTGCCTTAATAGTAATCTTTTGACATTCAGGCACATAAGTACCAGCTTTGCAAGCGTATCCACCTGAAGTAGTCTAATCTTCAGTGCATGTTTTATCCTTGTATTAGCATTATCCTAATCCAGTGACCTTGTAATCAGCACACTTGGTGAAGTCTTTGCAATTTCCATCGGAATCCAACGCACACCCTTGAGTTGAAGAACATTGATCTTTCAAATCAGCACATGATTTTCTAGAACAGGTTTTAGCCACTCCATCCCATGTGCATTGGGTGTTGAATTTACATTCTGTTTCAACCACTAATTGATTGCATTTACATTAGCCATCATCGAATGTAAATGCTGCCAGAGTTACGCTGAGAATTGCAAATAATAACATAATTATTAAATATGGTAAATCATTTGAATGATGATTTAAATATCTAAATAGATATTAAACATATGTTTGGAAGATGTAAAAATACATAATCAAAATCAATCGTCATTTTATTTTGAATAATAAATATATAAAAATATATAAATGAGGAAGAAAGTGTAAAAAAGAAGTTCATCCTCATCTTCATCCACTTCTAGGAGTAGAGAGAATGAAGTTAAGAATCAACATTCTAAAGTTTCATACCAAGAGTACTTGCTTCAAAGAAAACAAAGAAGGGAATCTATTAAAAAATCAAACATTTGGCAATTCAACAGTGATTCTGAAGAAGTTCGAAGAGGTAATAATCTAATCATTTATTCAGACTTGGAAACTATGAAGGTGTAAAGGAGATAACAAAGATATATCATTGAGGAACAAATGAAATAGGAGGAGGATAAATTAAGAAGGGCGAAATTAGATGCCATCATGAAAGGAGAACATTTATAAAAAGTACTTCCTTCTAAATCATAAGAAAGAGAGTAGCAATCCCAACAAAAAGAGATTGTAATCTAAGAAGAAGTGGTAAACTAACAAGAAGAAATCGATTAGGAACAAGATGAAGAAGAATAATAGTACTATTTCACATATATTCTTAAAGCTACTCAGAAACAGACTCTGATGATTCATTTGCTGAGAAAGTTAGAAAATTAAATGAAGAAATGCAAAAGAAAAAAGAAGAAAATGATAAATCCTGTCAAATAGGTCCCATGCCTCTATTATTTGATAAAAACTTACAACACAGAACCAATTATGGCAGTCAACTCTTACCAGGGGAAGGAGCTGCAATTGCTTATTACATTTAATCAGGAAAACGTATTCCTAGAAGAGGAGAAGTTGGATTGACATCTGAAGACATTGAAAAGTATGAAGGGTTAGGATATGTGATGTCTGGAAACAAACATCGCAAGATGAATGCTGTTCGATAAAGAAAGGAAATGCAGATCTTGAATGCTGAATAAGGCAAGGCTTTGATGATATTCAATTACGAATAAAAGGTCAAGAGAGAAAAACAAATCATCGATCAATTATAGAAACAACTTAAGTTGAAATAAACAAATTAAGCAAGTTAATGAAAATATATTATATAATTGCTATTTCAATCTATCATAAATCAATCATAAGTTGTATTTCTTTTAGCATTCTTTGAAAATGTCCATATATGGTTGGCATCTTGTGATTTCTGAGTTCATTTGTAAGCACTAAATAAATATTCTAAATTTACATTAGTGATCATTTGGCTTTCATTCTAACAAGCTTATTATTGTTATTGAGGAGCCTATTGCTGGGATTATTATTCAACTGGTTAAGATTGACCTATTTAAATTATATTTAAATCTACTTGATCCACCCATAACAGATCTGATTGCCTAATGAGCTACTTCTGAACCTGCTCCAAATGCCATACCTGTCATCAAAGTTGATCCAAGCCCAGAAAACATTCCTCCTGATTTTACTGGAGTTTAAGCAGGAGCTTAAGTCTATGGAGCTGGTCTTGCAGCTGTTGCTGTGCTTCTTGATGGGCTAGGTCTTGATCTTGATGATGATCCACTTCTTCTTGGCATTTTAAATACTTTCTCTTAAATTATTAATGAAAATATTTTAAGATTCTAAGAACAATTTATATCAGGTCAATTTGTAACCTTACGTTAAATTTTATCAGAATAACTACTTTCTAAATCTTTTTTGAGCTTAATATATTCAAATTTTAGGTAAATAATATATGAAACCAGCAATAACGACTAATTTACTTTTTCTTAAATATTTATTACTCCTCTATCTTTAAATAAACCACTTGTTTCTATATCTTTTATTTCTTAAAATATTTAAGCTCTTAGATCTAAAAGAAAATCAATTTAATCATGATATAAGAACGAGTTGATCATTATTAAATTTTAATATAATTATATTCTACATGTCAACTTCATAATATAATAAAAATTAATTTAAAAATAAATCCACCACATCACCAATTGACTTAAAATAGTTTTTTTAAATATTTCTCAACTTAAAATAGTATATTATCACATTATTCTTAATACATACTTTTTATAATAATTACTTATATTATTTATAATGCAAAATTTAATAACACGAATAAATAAACATCTTTAACTGATAGCTAAGGAAGAATAGAATGTAGATTCGAAAAGGATGAATCTCGTAAGCTAAAAGGGAATTGACACAAAGCAAATATTTGAATCAATCGCTATGCCTACTCTGAATTTCAAATGTCTAAACTAATTTTTAATGTATTTGATATCTTAAATGGAGTCATTATGAAATTGAGCATGATGATCAATTTGTTAAAAGTTTTTTATATCGACACACTGGTTTGAAAAAATTTGAAATGGATTATGAAGAGTATTAAACTGGTTTATACAAGGTTTCTGAATTTCATTATGCCTTGCGAAGATGAAGATCTTTATACAATAACAAAAAATAAGGAACACTTAGGAGGGGCAAGAACCATCTTTAGTTTGTAGACAAGCCAAGCTTTATTCGATTTATTTTATGCTGAAGTTCATTATCATTTCGAGGTTGAAAGGTCTAAGAAAGAGCTATTCAGGGATTTTGAACACAGATTATTGGTACATCCTCTATGCGAACATAAATATATAATAAAGGAATAGCTATCTTAATTCGATTTCACTGATGATGATATAAACAGAATTTGGAGGAGACTTAATTACATGTAAAGAAATTGCTTTAAAGATGAAAAATATAAATGTAGACACTTTAGATCACTCTTGTTTCCAGAAGACTATTTTGAGAATCTTAAATTGATAGGATAACCTGTCTATTTAGATGAATAGGTTCAAAAATAATATGCCAAACCAAATCAATATTCAAAAAATACTCGAAAGTCTAGATTTATTGAGTGTCCAAAGAATGATAGATGTTAGTTCTATTAGAATTATGACTTACTTAAACCCTATTATGGTGATAAATTTATAATTGATTATAACAAAATTTATAATAAATGATATCTATTACTATCTTATACTCAAAATTCAACTCATTCATAATAGACTCCAAATACGATTGCTACACCGTAAATACTTTCCTAATTATTTAATGATCAGAAAGATTAGTTACATTTTAAAATGCGTATGATGCATAATTGTCCCAAGTTGGATCCCATAGATTTTTTGAAGTTACTTTGCATCCCTATCCCTTGACTTCACCTATTACAACCTAAACTGCAATTTTAAATCTTGGCATTTTTATAGCTTAAAATTAAATGAAATAAGTCATTTACTTTCTCTAACTTTACTTCTTATTCTTTTTACTAATTCTTCTGCTAAATTAGGAGTGTTGTTAGCATCATAAGTTTCGGTTTTTAATTTATCATCCATGATTTCTTGGATTAATTTTCTCACTTTTGATGGATAAAATCTAATTATATCAATTTAATAATCACTTTTCTTCATCTTTAGGTTCTACCACAAATGTATTTGCACCTCCAGAGTCCATCTAATTTATATTTATATAAAAATAAAAATAATTAATAGTTATTCATTATTATTCAAAGTTGTTTTATTCCAACATATAGTTTGTCAAATATTTATCTATATTCGAACCATATTTTTATTGTATTTCTACTCATCTAATACTATCACTCTGAATACCATTCCATTTGTATAAAAAAATAATATCATAATAATCTCCATTATTTGTAAATTCATATTTAAAATTTCTAAATTTTGCCATTTAATTTCTTCTAAACTTTCCTCAAGATCAAAAAACAATATGAGTTTTCTAGGTAATGAACATAGTTGAAAATTTGAATCTATTATCTATTTTTTATATAAGGAGTTGTTCGATATTCATTACCAAATAAAAGTTAGTTTATTGAAAGCCATCATTAAAACTACTGATTTCCTCTAGTATAAATCATTAAACCTTCATAAGACCAATTATCAATATCACATTAGTACTTTTTATCATTGCTCTGATTTGAAGTTCTTCAATTTCAATTAAATATTTTACTGATAATTCCTTTGGCAATTTAGTGGTTTATTAGCTTGCATTATTTATGTTGCTAAAAGGAATAGCTTAAGTAAAGCTTTAATTCTTTAATTTTTCTATTAACTTTCTATTGGATTTAGGCTGCCCCAAATGAATATATTCATTTTAGGTTTTGTGCAGTTTCTTATTCAGTTCATAAAACTTATTTTTTAAATTAGTATTTTATATTTCCTTTCTTTATTATATTCAATGTAGAATAATTCAAATCACCTCCATTTAACAGTCTTATCTCTTGAATATAAACTATTTTGAATATACAGGATTACCTCCAACTATTATATTAACTTCCATAAAAATACAAAGAATTACCTTATTAAGTAATTTGATAAACTCTATGGTCCAATAATGCTTTAATTAAATTCTACAGAATTTAATCTTTATCTGTTTAGCCCCAAATCCCAAGCATCTCTTGTATCAATCAATTAAATATTTTCAAGAACTTCTTCTTAAATAAAATATATTCGGTCTGAATCAATGGTAACAGCCACTCTAAGTTCACTTCTTTGCAGATTTTGATCTTCTCAATCAATTCCTCTTAGACTGGACTTAAATACTTACTTTTCAGTTCTAGAATCTCAGTATTCTAAAAAAGTTCTAATATGTGAAATATATATATACAAAACAATAACTTGATTTACACAAATGTACATGTTTTTTCTCTATTGCATTTGAAGATTATTTATGATTTAGAGGCGCTCCTCTTGACTTTTGAGTAAATGTTAAATTTCCTAAGAAATTTAAATTTTAAGGAATTTCATAATCTAGAATGTTAGATTAAGTATTTCGAAGGAAAAAGGCATTTGTAAATTGATTCTCTTGATATAAATAATAGACTTTCATTTTCTTTTTAAAATTTAATTTATGAGGTCGCAACCTTTATATATATTTCTTTTTTGGCTTTATTAGCCTTACTTCCTTGTAAATTATGTTTTTGATACAATAAGCTATGAAAAATTGAAAAATTGATCAAAAACATTTATGCTGTTGTAAATTCATTCGGAAATTGTCGGTTTATTAGCAATAATATCAAGATTTCCGTAATTAATTAAATAAAACATCGAATACAGTTTGCATTTTAAATGGTATACTATTATTAGTATTGATTTAATAATTTCTAATCAAAATGAATTCTGGAATCTCTTAATAATCTAATTCTATTCTAACCTCTAACTAAGATGATAACTCTTACTAAACTTAATTTCGTCATCAATCTACCGAAGAGGGAATTTTTTAATCTAAATAAATCAGACAAAGAAGAAAAACAATCTAATATGGCTAGAAAGATAGAGGTAGCGCTATTTATAAATACCTCAAAGAGAAATAGATGGCTTTTCTTAATTACAAACCTAGAGCATAAATTTCTTAATTCTCTGCAGAAGAAGACCGAATTCTAATTTTGCTTGTTAAAAAATTAGGACCCAAGTTTAACAAAATAACAAAGTACTTCTCTGGAAAAACTGTCAATATGATTAAGAACAGATACTACAAGTCTTTACGATATATTGAATCTTAAGAAATTCCAAAAGAGTTAGAAGAGGAACTTCTTTAAAATAAAAATGAATCAAGAATTATAGGTAGAAAAATTCTAAATTTATGGCCTCAACATAAATAAATGAGCTCTGTGATAGAGAATAGCCCTCTCTTTCCAGAAGCCAAGGAAATTCTACACACATTTTTGAGTTCATTTTAATAACTTATTGGAAATATGCAAAAATGATAAATGAATTTTATATTTATAATAGACACCTAAAAATTTCATTTTTATATGTTATTATTTGTCTTTACTTTATTGGCTATAAGTATTTCATGCCTGATTTTCTGAGTATTAATATTTATCAAGCTAACATTCAAAAATATAAAAAAAAACATAAAAATTGACATGAAATTAATGAAATATCTATAATTAAAAATATATATATTGACAGTTAAAAAAGGTTTGATATTGTGAGTTAACATTGTAGATGTGATATACAGCATAAATAGATTTAGTAAAATAAAGTTCCGTTAATATGGTATAAAATTTGTCTATTAAATTAGTGGATTTAATGACGCTATTCTAAATCTGTGATATACTCTATATGATTATACTAAAGTATATTAGGAAGAGAAAATAGCTGATACTATTCGATAAAGTTCATATTGAATTGATAAAGTGTTATATCGTAGAATTATTTAAGAATAATTAACATTCTTTTTTATAATTTATTACATCTACTCAAAATTAGATAATTTTAGGCTATCAATTATTTTCGGCTCAATGATAGATCCTATATAAAAAATAAAATCCTTTCTTATTCGAAAATTATGTGATTAAATGTAACTAAAACTCATATTATGTCAAATTCTAATATTTAATTGAATTACTATTTCTCAAGGTGTATGTTTAATAGAAGGGAATCATTCTAAATATTAAGATTGATTTTTCACAGTTTTTTTATCAACTGACTATTCTATGATGTAAAATTTATTTGAAACGATTTAAACTGTTTCTTAAACCAAAATTCATACACTTAGTTAAATTTTAAAGTATTCTCTAATTGATAATTATAATAAAAGCACCGAAACTTTTTTTAAATTATTTACTATAAGTTTTGTTTCGTTTTGATAACATCAAGCTTAAACTGAGCTACAAAATGAAATCATTATAATAAATTAAACAAAAAACTAGACCCAAAAAAAATTAATAGTCAAATTCTTTTTGTTTATGTTTATTTTTATGAGACTAGAAATAATTTGAAAACAAAATGTATCCGACGCCTAACGGGAATTTTTAGAAAGCTCATTGTGCACC